TCTGTTACAACTAGAGATATGTTGAACACTGTTGTAAAGAAGACACCAGACAAAGTAGCATTTATATTTCCAGTAGAAAAGATACACCTCACATTTGCTGAATTACAAAACCAAGTCACTGCCTTGGGAACTGGGCTTCTTTGCTTTGGGTTGAAACGAGGAGATACTCTGGGTATTTTTTCGTCCAGTGCACCTGAATACATATTGGTACAGTTTGCTGCTGCACTGATAGGAGTGGTATTAGCACGATTTCACATCGGCTTGCCAAATAATATGCTGAAAAATGCTATAATTAAGAGTGAGTGTGTTGCTCTGGTAGTTGGTGCCAAAAATGACGAGGTGTACAAGCAGTTGGAGGAAATTGTTCCAGATTTGAAAGCATCAGATTTTAAAATATTGCAAAATAATGGCAAATCAAAACTTCAATCAATAATTACCAACGTGGCGGCGTCTCAAGACAAATGGAAGTCTATTGATGATATCATGGATATAGGCAGAACAAACCCCGAAAAGGGTAAACGGCTACTAGAGGAAACCAGCAAAATGCTGGAGTTTGGTGACCTGTATACCATTTTCTACACATCTGGTAGTACTGGGCCATTGAAAGGCACTCTCCATACTAATGTCACAAATCAAAACATGTACATGGTATTCGCAGACAGATATGGATGGACGAATAACGACATTCTTCTGTCGGCGTGTCATTCATTATCTCATATCGCTTCAGAAATGTCTCACATTGCTCCACTCATACTGGGAATGACATCAGTCATACTTTCCCCTGGTACAAACATAGAAGATAATGTTGCAGTTATACAAGATGAACGTTGTACCGCACTATTTTCTACCTATCCTGGTCTTTATAAAATGCTACATTATGGCAACATTGATCAATATGATTGTTCATCTCTTCGCTACATTCTGACTGGTGCAAGCACAATTCCACCAGACTTTATTCGGAAAGTCAGTACAATATTCCAAGCTAAAGTACTGAATGCATATGGCTCATCTGAAGCCGGATTAGTCAGTGGGAGAGATATCATAGCGAGTGAAAATGAGGTTATTGATAAAGTTGGGCGCCCAATTGGTCACACTGAAGTTAAGATAGTGAATCAAAATGGTGGTATAGTGCCAATCAATACACTTGGTGAGCTACTCGTCCGCAGTAATTTTCTATTTCGTTCTTATATTAATGATGAAGTCAAGACAAGGCAGGTTAAAAGCGTAGATGGATGGTATAAATCAGGTGACACAGCTAAGATAAATTGTAATGGTTATATTACTATTGTTGGAAGGCGCCAAGATATCATCATAAAAGGAGGACAAACAATGTACTATTCTAGCTTAGTGGAGTCTTTATTGAGTCATCCAAACGTTATAGCAGCTTACATAGTGCCGGTGCCAGATGAAGAATTACAAGAAGACTTCTGCGCATGTGTCTCATTGATTGGCAATATTTCACTGTCTGCAGACGAGTTGAAGACCTACTACAGTAGTAACATTGGAATGTCGGATTATATTCCAAAATATGTGATCATTTTTAATGATTTTCCGAAAACATTAGTTGGTAAAATAGATCAGAAGACGCTGTGTCTCGAAGCGTTTCGTAAGTTAGGTTTGGATGAAGACTGGCTTATGCATGGAAGACAAGCATAAGTATGTGCTCACTCTAGTTTACGATCCCTAAACAGAGAAATTGTTAAGTAGAAACAATTATAATATTTTAATTTAGTTTTGAGAAAGAGATATTTCATTAAATTGTCTGTTAATTATTATATTAGAATATTCCCTGGACCTGAATAGTTCGGTAGATACACTTCGCAAT